TTTGAAAAAAAAAGTTATATTCTATTTGACGTTGTAAATAAATGTATATTTTTCATAACTTCATTGACGTTGGAGATGAATATTCATTGGGTAACTTCCCAAAATGAAAGTTGATGATATGAACGAAATAGTTGAGACAGATGGAGCAGATGGAGCAAAATTCTATTTTACATAGTGGTTTAGGAATCCTTTTAGCACAAATTCAATTTGCAAAGGTACCATGTTATTTTATTATTAATAAAATGTTTGTTTTAATGAATTATTGTTTAAAATACAACAAAGAGATACATGGAGCAATTGAAAAGCCATTGCGCAAATATCAGTCCGCTTAACAAGCTTCACACCAAACTGACTGGTTTAAACAATATGCTGGTCAGTTTACCGAGCATGTATGTAATAGTAATAGAGTCTAAATTCCGACTCTTGTTCGTAGGTCTTTTGTTTCTGGAAGATTCGAGAGTTGTATCGATTAAAGAAAAATTGATAATTGTTTATTTGTTTTTTTCGCCTCGTAAAATTTAACTGTTATTCTTTTTATTATATTTCCTTCTTCTATTAAATATATACCTCCGTCTATCTTATTTATTGTGAATCCCATTATTCTTACTATATCAATTAATTGCTATGTTAAGTTTTCTTCTTTCTAATTATTCGTTTCCAGAACTCCTTTATATTCTTCAGTTAGTTTTCTTTCCGCTGTTCTTAAATATTCTCGTTCGTCAGTAAACTATGCTACATAGTGAGTCACTATTCGTTGGTCTCTGTATTCTTCTTTCATTCTGATATTTTTCTTTTTGTGCGTATGTAGCGTATCCCTGTTACTCTATTTCTATTATTATCTCTTTCCAATCTTCTCTTTCGTTATACACTTATTGTTGATCTTATTATTTTTTTTCTTTGATTATTTTGCCTGTTAAATTTTGTTCTCGAGTCTATTTGTCTCCTGGCTATTTCTTCTATATAATTTCTTATGATTACTTTCAATTCCAATGAGAAATTTTTATAAGTTTCTTGATTCATATATATACTTTCAATAAATTATCTTCTGTTAATTTCTTATTTTCTTGTAGCAGTTCTTTCGTTGGCTTTATTGGCTCCTTTAATAATTCTGTTGAATGTTTTTATTCTTTATTTTCTTCTGATAATTTTTGGTTCTTTGTTGATAAATTTCTTTTTTAGTTATTTGATTATTTATTTTCATATATTTAAAACTCTCAACCGAGTTCCTTCCTTACTTGTAAACCTTCTTCCTTTATATAAATAAATACTTTTTTCTTGATTAATAATTTTTCTGGTTCTTATTAGTTCCTCTTCATCTGATTATTAATTTCTTGATTATTAATTTTCAATTTCTCTTCCTGTTAATTCATGTATTATTACTGCTTCTACTATATATTCCCAAACAAATTCTTCCGACAAATTCTGAAATTGCTTCTATTCCTACTATATAGAATTAATCCCACTATTCAATTTAATTATTGTATCTATTATTTCTTTTATTATAAATTCGTTATTTACTAATGTGTAATGTATTATGATCATGTGAATTATTGAACTGATTATCTTCCAGATTATTGTCAATATTCTCTTTATCTTTTCTCTTCTTCCGGTTTTCTTCCAGTATTTATACTTTTCTTCGTGGCGTAATTTTAATTTCTCCTTTCTGATATAGATCTTTCCTTTAATTCTTTTTTTTTTCTTCTTATTGGCGTGAATTCTTCTTTTAATTATTTGTTGATTTAATTTTTTTTATCCTTGCATCAGGAAATTTTTTCTGATGCGGATTTACGTAAGTTTATTATGCAATTATTATATTAAGTGTAAATATTACATAATTTTTTATGCAAATATTACAACTTTACATATTAAAATTTATGGACGTAATATTACGGCG